CAATAAATACAATTACTCTGTGTAACGTTAAGCCCAATATCTACTTCTATCTTAAAAACAATTAAAATAATTAATTTCTATCACTTAGTTATGTAAAAGTATCTTAACAATTATGTTTATGTAGGAAAATGCAAACCATGAAATTGATCAACTTTACATTTGCTGTCTATAATTTTAATTAGGGCTGCACGATAAATCGCATGCGATATTTAATGCGCATCTTGTCAGTAAAGCCGGTTCTGTAATCAGCGGTAAATCTCCATCACGTGCGGGCTTTCACATTGAGCAGCATTTACTACACTACGTTGTTCACTGACAAGCTGCACAAAACCACGTTCATAATCGCACGCTTTTTTGCGCAGCTTGTCAGTGAACAACGGCTCTGTGTAGTAAATGCTGCTCCATGTGAAAGATGTAATTATCTGAACCAGTGCTGCCTTGATGTTGTTGGATTTGAGTGCTGCCTTTGATAGCCTAGATCATGGCAACTTAATATTGAACATCTCAGAGATTATGTGGCTATCAAGGCTGTAGCCCTTAAATGCTTCCCCTCAAATTTGCAGGACAGGACATGTTCAGTTAGGATTGGGACCTGTGGCTCATCATCTATTAATATTTCTTGGGGGATTCCACAAGGATCGAGTCTTGGTCCAACTCTTTTCATTGTATATGTTGCCCCTGGAGTTAATTCTTAAGAATTATAGAGTTAGCTATAATTTTGATGACCTACAGTTGTACCTTTCCATAGAGTATGATGACTGTTCATCTGTCTCCCATTTGACAAGTGTTTGTCTGAAGTCTGTAGTAACAAAAGTAACAATCTATAAAACTGAAGTTCTGCTCGTGCAGTGGTCGAACCGAAAGACCCTTACCGAACATTTTCGGTACGAATACGTGTACCGTTACACCCCTAGTAAATAGTCAAATTAATTTATATGTTTTGACTAAACAGTTGTTGCATGTGCATCATGTAAAAATTTTCTTTAATAATAACTAGTTGCATTTGCATTTTACAGTGCAGTTTATTTGTTATTAAATAAACTTACATTTAGCCAAATTTGCCCCCTCATTCAAGTCCTCAGTTGACCAGCAGCACTCATAGTATCAGCACACCATCAGTTCTCCAAAAGAAACCGTTCGGTTCAGTCAGTGCTAGCTTCACGCATGCTCGTATCTCCAGCTCATCAATTCTCAATATTGAACGTGTCCGAAATAAACAGTTCTCCGTTTAGTGTTCTGGAGATTCGAAAACTGCTGCAACCGGTTCTTGAATCGAGATCCGCTGTTGCAGTATGTGTAAGTCTGCTGAGCTGAGAACTGCTGCAACTTGAATATACAGTCAACAAAACAAAAAATGTGAAGCATCTCTCCAGTATGTTTAATAGGTTTCTACTGATTAACACATAAACATTTATTTTGCACCTATAAAACCTTGGCAAAAGTTTACGTCAAGATTTAGATCAAATCATTTAGATTTTAAATAAGCTGTTCCTGAAAATATCATGCTGTCAGACTCTGTTCCGTGTCTGTGTGTGTTTTCTTCCCCCACGTGCTCCAGGTTATGTTTATTTCCTTATTTGGTCTTCCTGTTCCTGTCCTGATTGTGTTATCATTTGTTCCAGGTGTTCCCCGTTCTGTTCCATTGTTCCCAGGAGTGTTCCATTAGTTTTAGTGTATTTAAAGTGTTTTCTGCCCCTCGTAAATCCCTGTGTCCTACGTGTGATTCCTGTGGTGTCAATGTTAATAAAGACTGTGTATCCTGATTCTCCAGCATTCTCCTCGTTCCTTGTTCCTCGCTCCTTGTCCCTCGCACCTCACCGTAGGCGCACCGTGACAGAATACCGGACCTAAACAGAAAGTAAGCCGTGCCACTTCTCCCCGTTTTGTTTCCGTTTTTGAAAGTATTTTGTTTTCTTGTTTTTTCCCCCTGCGATCATGGAAATCGCCGCTCGTTTCTCCACGGCTACGCCATTGGATGACGCCACCATCAATTCTCTGTTCTGGCTCGGGGCCAACTACCATCGCCCCATGGACCTCCCAGACACCAAGGGACTATGCTGGAGGGAAGGGATCTACCAGTGTCTGGGGAGTGCCCGGGCCTGAGCCAGAAACAGCCCGCCGGCTGCTCTAAAGTCAAGTTCGCGGGTCGCCGCTCGCTCAAGCCCGCCGGAATCTCTGCTGTCAAGCCCGCCGGCCGCTCCGAAGTCAAGCCTGCTGGCCACTCCTTTCACCCCGAACCTGAAGGGGAATCTAAGGAGGAGAAGGCGGTCGGCTCCAGCCCCAGAGCTCGCTACAGTGCCAGCTTCTCGTAAGCGCTTCCCAGTCCCTGAATCCAGCCCGGAGTGGGCTCCTGTTCCCGAGTTTAGCCCACGGAGGGCTCCTGTTCCCAA